CGAATTTTTTATTGCTTGTTCTGTGACAAAATTGAATTTTGGTCTTTTAAACTGAAATACCTAAATAAGGGGGGCCGAAATTTTTCTCCGTCCCGAGCGGCTGACACCCACGGTACGCCACTGTGTGCCTTACGTCTTTTCTTTCCCCCCCTTCGCCACGTGGTGGGTCGGACTCGGTGAAGAGGAGTTATGTAATTCTGGAGTGTGTAACCGTGGGTGGGAGTTTTATGGTAGGGTGTGTCTCGGGGGGGGGAGAAGTGCAGAACGGAAGTGGAGAGAGAACAGGGAAGTAGGAAAGTAAGAGTGGTGGTGAAACTGCGTGAAGAAAGTAAAAGGACTGTGCAAGCAAGTCCGTGTGAGATTTCAGAATTTGGAACTGTTTTTTACCCAGAGTGAAGGAGAGGAAAAGATATGACAAAACCCCATTTCTGTCGGTATGTTTCTATGTCTTTATGTTACGTGTGCTTGAGCAGTTTATTGTCGGGAGATTTTTGTTAACGATACGCGATATACTAGATTTGTCGTACTCAGTATTTTCCTTGTCTCATCTTTGTTTTAGGAGTACTGTATGTTCCCAAGTATATCAAAGGAATATTTCGTAGAATTTGATAGTTGTCTTTGTCTAGTCCATATTGAGTCCAGTGGATTCCCCCTGATAAGCGTCTGCTCCACCAAGCACGCTTGTTATAAATTCTCCTCTCGTAGAAGCACTTACGTTTTATCGTGTTGATTCATTCTCACGATATTTATACCCTCACACTCTGGTACTGATTTCTCCTGAGTTTCAGTGGTAAAAAAAAGGATACAGTTTTTTCCAGACGCTATTTTAAGTTTTTTGTGAAACTTCATTCCAAGATTGTCCAGTGATTCTCACTACATCTAAAACATTGAATTATTTCCAAAAGTCTTTAACAGAGACCTTGTTGTTTTGTCTCATGGCTTCATGCAGATGTGCAAACGATCCTCTGGTGTAATAAGCTTTAAATGTTTTGGTGATTCCCTGATCCATCGGTTGAAGCAAACTGGTGGTATTTGGCAGCAAAAAATACAACTTTCACACGTGGGTCAAAATTAGTTAAAGCTTCAGAGGGATGACCTGGTACGTTGTCGATTATTAGCATCACTTTATATGGAATTTGTTTAGATTGGCAATAACGTTCGACTTCAGGTATGAAGTGATGATCAAACCAGTCCTCAAAAAGGGAAGCTGTCACCAAGCTTTACGAATCGACTTCCAAATCACAGTCAACATAGCTTTGAATTTCTCTGGATAGTAAGACGCAGTCTCTTTATCAGCACTTGCCGCCTCTCCACTTTCTGCAATGCTATGCCAATTACAACGACTTTTGAATCCGCTGACCCAACCATTACTAGTTTTAAACTCTTCATCTTTAGCCACCTCTCCAGCATCCTCTTTCAATCTCTCGAAAATCAGCTTAGCCTGAGAGCACAGTGTTCTGATCAACAGGACAATTTTTCACATTTACTTGATTATCACACCATAATTTTAACATTAGCGAGGTTGAGGCCGAAGTTTTAAACGTGAAAACGTGTACGTCGGACGTTCAGCGCCGCTTTCCCGCAGCCTGGAAGTTTGACAATAGTGTTTGGATAGTCAGTGGAATCATGTCGACATTCCAAACACCATTGTCAAACTTCTAGGCTTACAGGAAAGCGGCGCTGAACGTCCGACGTACACGTTTTCGTGTTTAAAACTTCGGCCTCAACCTCGCTAATGTTAAAATTATGGTGTGATAATCAAGTAAATGTGAAAAATTGTCCTGTTGATCAGAACACTGTGCTCTCAGGCTAAGCTGATTTTCGAGAGATTGAAAGAGGATGCTGGAGAGGTGGCTAAAGATGAAGAGTTTAAAACTAGTAATGGTTGGGTCAGCGGATTCAAAAGTCGTTGTAATTGGCATAGCATTGCAGAAAGTGGAGAGGCGGCAAGTGCTGATAAAGAGACTGCGTCTTACTATCCAGAGAAATTCAAAGCTATGTTGACTGTGATTTGGAAGTCGATTCGTAAAGCTTGGTGACAGCTTCCCTTTTTGAGGACTGGTTTGATCATCACTTCATACCTGAAGTCGAACGTTATTGCCAATCTAAACAAATTCCATATAAAGTGATGCTAATAATCGACAACGTACCAGGTCATCCCTCTGAAGCTTTAACTAATTTTGACCCACGTGTGAAAGTTGTATTTTTTGCTGCCAAATACCACCAGTTTGCTTCAACCGATGGATCAGGGAATCACCAAAACATTTAAAGCTTATTACACCAGAGGATCGTTTGCACATCTGCATGAAGCCATGAGACAAAACAACAAGGTCTCTGTTAAAGACTTTTGGAAATAATTCAATGTTTTAGATGTAGTGAGAATCACTGGACAATCTTGGAATGAAGTTTCACAAAAAACTTAAAATAGCGTCTGGAAAAAACTGTATCCTTTTTTTTACCACTGAAACTCAGGAGAAATCAGTACCAGAGTGTGAGGGTATAAATATCGTGAGAATGAATCAACACGATAAAACGTAAGTGCTTCTACGAGAGGAGAATTTATAACAAGCGTGCTTGGTGGAGCAGACGCTTATCAGGGGGAATCCACTGGACTCAATAGGGACTAGACAAAGACAACTATCAAATTCTACAAAATATTCCTTTGATATACTTGGGAACATACAGTACTCCTAAAACAAAGATGAGACAAGGAAAATACTGAGTACGACAAATCTAGTATATCGCGTATCGTTAACAAAAATCTCCCGACAATAAACTGCTCAAGCACACGTAACATAAAGACATAGAAACATACCGACAGAAATGGGGTTTTGTCATATCTTTTCCTCTCCTTCACTCTGGGTAAAAAACAGTTCCAAATTCTGAAATCTCACACGGACTTGCTTGCACAGTCCTTTTACTTTCTTCACGCAGTTTCACCACCACTCTTACTTTCCTACTTCCCTGTTCTCTCTCCACTTCCGTTCTGCACTTCTCCCCCCCCGAGACACACCCTACCATAAAACTCCCACCCACGGTTACACACTCCAGAATTACATAACTCCTCTTCACCGAGTCCGACCCACCACGTGGCGAAGGGGGGGAAAGAAAAGACGTAAGGCACACAGTGGCGTACCGTGGGTGTCAGCCGCTCGGGACGGAGAAAAATTTCGGCCCCCCTTATTTAGGTATTTCAGTTTAAAAGACCAAAATTCAATTTTGTCACAGAACAAGCAATAAAAAATTCGGTGGTAGTGCAGCGACCTGTTTAAAACAGTTCTATTGGATATTAGTGGTGTATATGAACGCACATGTTAAAAGTCAACAGGTTTCGCAGGAACTCCTCGGATGAAAAAGTTACTAGTTCACCCGGCGAGCCGATTCCCGGACTTTCCGATAGCACTAACGTAGGCGCGATGCAAGTATAGATTAGGATGTTTCAAAATTTTACAAGATATTATTATTATTTATTGTGAAATTTTGCCGCCCCCTAAAAAGTGCCGCCCGGGGCGGACCGCCCCCTATGGTACGCCACTGCACCCTGTAAACAATAATGCCTTCCGGGAGGTCTTTTAATTTAAGGAAATCTGGTCCCTATTTAGGTGTTACAGACGTGGAGAAAACCGAAAAACTGCATGTGGCCAGCCCGTCCGAGCGCGGTGCTAACCCACGACCGAACTCCCAGTGTTTAAAAACGAAAACCACTTGGCCACTGGTGGGCTTCTTTCCATAAGCACTGGTCGGATGGCCGAGCGGTAAAAGTTGCAACCTACTGCTCTGGAGAACCGGGATCAAATTCGGACGGATCGAAAAAATCCCCAGAAATTTTTCGGAGGGTGGTCCAACCGAATATGTAGGCCTTCGTCTCTCATCACTCGGCCGCTTCATTGTGGCCCTGATCGAACCCATAATGGGCATGCTAAAAGAGGCCCTTTTAGTGTGTGCTCACAGGTCGGGAAGAGTAAAAAAACATGAGCACTAAGAGAACTTTTTCATACCCATGTCGGGTTCGATTAGGCCCACATTGAGAGACAGGATAGTAATAGACCGGCTTCTTTCGATATATCGGGAGTGACCACCCCGAAAAATTCTTGAAGTTGCTCGCTAGGATTCGATCCCAGCTCCCCAAAACGGCAGGTAGACTCGTTACTCGTTTGTTTATAGCAACGCAACACTTGGGCGATCTGCCTAGGGGATGTCTTCCAGGAGATCTTTTTAAGGGAAACTGGCTCCTATTTATGCGTTACAAACACGGAGAAAACCCGGAAGATTCCACGTGGCCAGCCCGTCCGAGCGAGGCGCGAACCCACGACCGAACCCCCCAGTATTCAGGGTACGAAGACCGCTTGGCCACTGGTGGGCACGGACTCGTTACTCTCTTTAGTTATTCTGCAGTCATGTTTTTTCTTATTATGATCTATTAATAAAAATAATTACAATATTAAAATATAAAATTTTTCTTAAAATAGGAAAAAAAAACTCTACTTATTTACCATTATTTAAAGAGTAAAATAACATAAATTAATTTAGTAATTTTTCTTATTTTGTAAGATAAAATAGACTTTTGTTTCATTTAAAAATAACAACTAATCTGCAATTTTTTCTTATTTTTCTATTATTAAAATGCGCGGAATTATTCATTACCCAATTTTCTTTTATAAAAAATATAACACATTTTACTATTTTAAAAAAAATTTGTTTAGAAAAAAACAAAATTGCTAAAAAATTATCATTAAACTAAATAATACAATACTGTATTTTCACTATTTAATATTATAATACACAAAGTTTAACATTATGATTTAAAATGCGCGACATTTTTATAATTTATTTTCTAAAAATCTACAACCTAAATGAAAATTTCATTTATAAAACAATTTCTTTAATATATTACAAAAATAAATCAATTTACTGTATACATAATTTTGTAATACTGTATATACATTTTATACTTTAAAAAAAATTAAATTTATATCTTGTGTGATGAAATATTGACGTGTGTCGTGACGTAAGTATATATATTGTCGATTTCAACATTTTTTTCTTATGTTTATAGTGATAAGGTATAGCGTCGACTTTACGTATTTTTACCATACTGCATCGTTGTAAACAACGGACCTTGTGCCAATTTCGATCAGATGATGATATGGCTGCCGAAAGTTATCGACGTAACGTCAAAACGTCGGGTCTGATTGTCAGACCTCAAGCTTTTAGGTAAGTTTTTAATGGATAGAAAATGTTCTACTTATTTAAAATCGTATAAATATTATTTTTAATATATTAAAATGATTTGTTAAGCGATGTTATGTATGACGAAAAACATTTTGATTTTTTAAAATCAGAGTCACGATTGTTTGCTTTAAAGTCTGTTAATAATTTTTATTAAAAATTAATATATTGGTTGTTTGATGATTTGGAATTCAAATTTGGACCAATTATATAAGCGTTTATAAACACAAAACGTATTGTTTTGGTTATGACGAAGTTGTGATAATTACAAGGATGACGTTCCAACAATAGAATAATATACCCTAAATAGAAAAGTTGGTTTTATTGAAACCATGCTAGTTTATTGTGATTTAAAATATTTTTATCGATATATTTGCGTTTAAAGTTTTATATAATTATATACAGTATGAAACTTTAACACAGTAAATATTATTTGTGTTGTGGATTAATTAAAGATCATTATGTTAACAAAAGCTTCATAATATGTACAGTACACATTATTTGAAATTTTTATATAATTTTATTTTCATTTATGTTCTGTTAAAGAGATTCACTGTCATTTAAAAATGTAGTATTGTGTTATTTAACTAGGAAAGATTGAACTAGACCAAATTTCTGTTGTTTATTTTGCTCAAATTCTTCTATAATGTGTTTTAAATGGAATCTCTCTAATTCTGGATTCATAAATTCATCTGTGTACCTATCTTAGGGTACAAAGTCTACTGTGGATGTAATAGTAGGGTGATGAATAAATTCTTCAATATTCTTAAATATGTATTGTCAGGGTGATCAAAAGTTTAGTATGAGGCCCAGGGGTACAGCAGACCTTTTATGCTCCTTAGCAGGCTCTCTTGCTTTTTTTTTTTTTTTACAAATGAAATATATAGAATATTTATTAATAAATAGCAACTTAAAGATTTTTTTCTTTTGTGAGTAAAAATAACATTAATTTATAGAGGTAAGATCCACCAAGGGCTCTTAAGGTTTCTCCAGGCCTAGGAGAAAATCCTCAGCAGCTCCTCTTGACAGTCTTGGTTATTGCTAATTCTAACCATTGCACAGTGGTACCGTTTCAGAAAAAGCCAGATGTAATTCTATACCATTGAAATAATGTTTGTTTCACAAATTAAACTATTTCCATCCAATAAAAATATTTTTAAATTAAGTACTTAAAAATTTTTTTAAAGATTATGTAATACTGAAAAATTCTAAAAAATTGGTTTGGAAATTTAATTAATCTTAATCAGAACTTATCTCCATTCCTTTTGTATTTGATTCCTGTTTTAAATCTTGTAAACTTAGAAGAGTTATTAAATTAAATCAGAAGAGGTATTAAGTCATTGCTTGATTTAATACCTTTGCAGGTAGCCATTTTGCTTCTTTTTTTGGTAAAACCCTCAAGGAGGATATTGATGGATCAGGTGAAATATTGTAAGTAACATGTGAATAAGATCTTCATTTGTTTGTTTTATAAGCGCAATGTAGCGTAATAATGATCACTTGGCACGATTCATTTCTTTATTTCAGTTTTCGTTGAAATAAAGAAATGAATCATGCTAAGTGATCGTTATTACGCTACATTGCGCTTATAAAACAAATAAAAAAATATGACACGGTTTCAAAATATGGAAGAATCTTCATTTGTATTGCATTAGAATTTTTTGAGCATGTGACTGACAAAATTACATATAGTCTTTATTTCTTGCTTCCTGGGCCTCTTCTGATTGTGCAGCTTTTGATGCAAGAATTACTTGATAATCTGGGCCCCAAGGATTGGGATTTTATGCATACTTACTGGCACGTAATATTAATATCACAAATATAGGATTACAAACAGCTTTGCAGTTGAGAGAGCATACTCTCTGAATTAATCTACATTAATTTACAGGACAGAAGAAATTACTATTAGTTCTGTAGCAAAGTGCTTGATCAATGCTTCATTGATATTCATTTTGTAAATACTTTGTCTGATCAGATTAGTCTGAGCCTGTCCTTTTATGTAAAATGCTAAATAATTTAATATAACTAAATGGATCATCACTTTCCAAAAGAATTATTCATATTTAGCCAAAGCAGAGAAAGATTGATATTTGTTTTAACATTAATGAGTTGAATGAAGTTTCAAATGCCATCTCATTGCATCATGTAGAACAGTGATTCCCAAACTTTTTCAAGACACCACGCAATGTAAGATTGTAAGATAGGACAAAAGTCATAAAAATAACATACAATATATTCACTTAAAACCTTTTAAAAACAAAGCTGATAGATACATCAAACAAGTCATCCACAAAACAACTGCAATGTGATATGGCCTGCTTGTATTGTTAATAGCTGTTCAAAAACCACTTTCAACTTGATTAATTGAAAAGAGTGCTGAAATGGTGACAGTTACTTTCTAATGTTTGGTTGCAAAATTAAACCTTTTGTTGGTATTTCATTGAATCACCGTGGAATGATTACATCAGGGTACATAGTTTATATTTAAATTTGTAAATGGTTTCTCAAACCTTTAGATTTGTAACAAAATACCACCTCTTTATATTAGCAAGTTAGTTGGAAATTAATTATAATTAATGATTGTAACAGACTGCCAAAAATTTTTTACAACTTTGTACATCGAGATTTTGTATTTTTTATAATCTTGAAGATCTATAACAATGAAATTTTGAATGCAATAAAATGCATTTTTGCAAAATAATGAACTTTTTACCAGTGGCATGCCGTCATTAGAAGCGATGGAAGCGCCGCTTCCCTTGTATTTTATAAAAAATAAATACATATTAATTTTAATTATATGAAAATAATCGCATTATGTATCTTATTACAAATTTCTATACTACATTGTGAAAAAAAAAGATAAGATTGCTATTGTATATTCGAATGTTAGTGGCGGAGTGGAATCTCTGTATTGTCAGATTCCAAAAAAGCCAGATTTGCGCATGTGCTTTACAGAGCACCAACCTCACCCGGTTTAGCCGGTGGAAGCCTACGACCTTGGGTTGATGTTTAAGTCGATAACGCTTCCAATTCTATCCAGGACCGGTTCTGGGCTGTTAGCCGCCCACCCGCTAGATATTTGGCCGATTACGTGAATAACAAGTAGATTTATAACTTAACCCAACCGATAAGAATTTACTGGTATGTTTTTACGAAAGTTCTGTATAGTTGACATGAGTTAAAAAAATCTATTAAAATATTTGATATTTTTATCTCTTTCTCCGATTCTATATTACCCACGGATTTCAATGTTAAACCGGTGATATTACGATTTCGTATGTCCCATCTTTAAGGGGATGTAGAAAAAAACGTGTATAATTCTTGTATAATGTTAAAAAATTAACTGTTACTTCAACAACATCATTTACAACTAAATTTAAGGAATGAGAGAGATGCACGAGGTATAGAAAAAGCTCTAGAATTTATTTTCCTTAAATTTACGATTTATGTATCCGTTTGTCATAAAAATTTGTCTTTCCACTTTTTCCCCGAGACTACAAATATTCGAGTACAAAGTAACCGGTTTCTACTTATTTCTACTTAAGAAGTAGTTGAATAATTAAGCGATTAGGGAATTGGGGACGTAAACAAAACCTTGACGAAAGAGCCGAAATTTTACTTAAACAAAAGCTTAACCGAACCAATCTATAGCCGAGTACAGTGGGAACTGATTTCTTTGAAATACTGTATTAGATGTAATAAAGACAGAAATTTTTCCAGTTCAACGAGAGTGATCGAAAAGTTGTAAATTTTGGAAATTTCCGTGGACAACACCTGGTCCTAAAACAAATTAGTTAGAAAACAAATGACTATTAAGTTTAACATATTTAGATTTTTACAACTATGGTGAGAAATGTTTAAAATCTACAACGGCCCTGTCGCGTCTTTTGAGATATACTAATGATGCGACAAAAGAGGTATTTGACACTGACCGGTATCAACATCCTGGGGATTTGGCAGTCCGCATGTATGCACGCTCCACAACCGTCTTCGATTCCATCCATTAGCCACTTGTAGGGACTATTTGACTAAGTGCATTGTTTTAAGATTTAAAAAGTAAAGAATATTTTATATTTTTATGCACGTTTCTTTGCAAAGCTATATTTAATTATAATTTTCTTTAAAAGTATATTCGTACAATTGAAGAATATTTTGTACCAGGTATGTATCGGTACATCCACCACACATTTTATTTCACCGAGTAAGTTTTTATTATTTTATTTTTAATTGTAGCCCTTATATCGTGGCTAGCGATTCGGAATGTAATTGTGATATTAAAAATGCATNGAGTTTCTAGAAGCATTCTTAGGCCGGACTCGGAGAGAGACAGACGAGTGGCAGCAGGCTCTTGAACGGAAAGTCGAGGAGCGCTGCAGAAGGAGGCCATAAGAAGCGGATCGGTAGAAGAATTTGGTCGACGATTATATAGAAAAAAAACCCCAAAACGGACCCGAGTTGTTCTAAGAGGAGAACAGACGAGAAAGAGAAGCCGAGACGAGGAACGGTGGAGAACCAACTGGAAAATTGGGTACCTTCTGTCCTTTAATTCTTCTCATTTCCCCTTCTACTTTTTCTATTTTTAGTTTAAGTTAGATTAAGGTTTACGGGTGCAAATAAATTGTCGGGAGGTAGTTATTGAGAAATTAACTACCGGTCTATTGATATACCTGGTCACTCAAGATTGTGGAACCGTTTGAAGAACAGCGGGAATCTGAACATATTCTGTATATATATATTTCAAATTCAGCGAGAAATTAAACTCGTTTAATTGGTAAAACGTGTATGTGTTTACCTGTCCGCGTTGAACATTTCACACCAGTACACCACCACATATTTTATTTCACAAAGTAAGTTTTTATTATTTTATTTTTAATTGTAGTCCTTATATCGTGGCTAGCGATCCGGAGTGTAATTGTGATATTAAAAATGCATTTAGAGAAGTTTACGGTTTTTACTGGCTTATTGAATAAACAATACGAACGGAC